AATACGGGGCCCTATATGAATTTCCCCATTTTGGGAACAGTAATTTAGGCATGCTTCCATATCTGTGACAGCTGGTTGCAGCATGATCGCGTGAGAAACGTTTAGCTGCAAGGAAGTGCATCACAAGAGTGACTGAGTTAATGTTGAAATCCTATACTTAGGGAACTTCTAAGCTTCTAAGCACCAAACTCGAAACCTTCAATCCGCAAGGCGTCAAGCTCAAATGAAGTCGCCGGCCCAGGTACTCTCAGCAGGAAAGCATGGGGGCTGCGCAAGGTCCTGTTCAGAATGAGGCCAGTGGGGCGCTGCTGATGCTGGCCATGGCAATGGTAACAGTGCTGGTGGGGGGGAGGTTGGGGTTGGTGGCGGTGGTAGCAATGGCTTGGGTGGCGGCGGTGGTAGTAATTGCAATTGCGCTGGTGGCCGCGGACGTGCTTGTGCTGTTGGCAGTCGTTGCCATGCTGGTGGTCGTTTCTTTATACTTCGGTAAATGTAGCTATTAAGAAAGATTAGCTGCAGCGCCAGCAGCTATTGCAAGGACAGACATAGCCGCTGCCGCCCTTGGTCAAGTGGTCGTCCTGCTACCACTAACACAAAAACAAGGCGTAGGAGTCGGAGTCGGAACAGGAGAAGGATTAGGAAGAGGAGGAGGAGGGGTAGTCGGAGTAAAAATTAGCTATCATCTGCGTAATTGCGGCGATACGAAGAATCGACGGACAGTAGCTGGCCGAACAGCAGCCATACCAGTAGTAAACGCTGCAGTAGGAAAAAATAATAGCAAAGACATCAGCCGTGACACCCCAACAACAGTGATTCTGCCCAGCCGAAACCTCAAATCCCAACTCCAAGCGTAGTACCCTCAACTATTACCACCTAAGCCCGAAACCCCTAACCCTGAGCCCCAAAACGGAAACTGCGAGGTCCGAAAGGATTTGAAGCCGTGGGGATATTCCAAGGCTTTGTCCAAGGCTGTCTCAGCAGCTCTCTTAGACGGGGGTTTCCGAAAATTCAGGGTACCTTTTGCATCCCCATATTTAAGGTGTAGGGTTTGGGGTTTCTGGATTATAGTACTTGGGGGTCTATAGTGGGGGCACCCTATTTAGGAGAACTACCAAATCAGTGGATAGCCATTCAGCATTTTTGGGGGTTGTATAGATAATCCATCAGAACCCTACTGCAAAATAAGAAGGGGTCAACCTTTTGGGGTATATGCGTATAAACCATTAGAATCCTACCGCAAATTCGGGTTTAGGGTCAGGGTTTTTATCAAAGGGTTTAATCCGTGATCTTGGTGCCAGGAAACTCATCAGCTAGGACGCTGAAATCAGAGCTTGACGAGGGCTTCTTAATCAGGATAATGCCAGGCATTGTCAAAGACGCCTTTAACGCCTAAACTTTGCGTTTCCTATTGGATTGCTACAGCTGGTGTCTGAGGTTCCATGGGTTTGGGGACAAAACGGTTTTAGTCTTTAAGGTGTATTGTGTCGTGCTCAGCCTTGCAGAAACAGGTAACGTATGCCTAGCCTGGACGGCTGCACATCTTGGCATATAGGACTAGAGGGTTATTTGGAGCTTGCGTTTCTAGTTGTGGCTTTGCATGTTTCGAAGTTTGACCCTAAGCCCTAAACCTAAATCCTATTTAACCACATTATAGTAGTTTCCGTTTTCTTTTCCATTATCCTACATTGTTGCTCATCCAATGTTGAGGACCCTGGAGTTGATCTCCAATATTTGTCAGGGAGCATTCTGAAAGGGCCCAGGGAACAATTAGTGGTCCATGGAACGTAAAGCCCTCAACCCTGAACCCTAAACCTACCGCCAGACTAATTAGTGAACCCTAAGCTAAGTCCATATACACTAAAACTCTAAAATGCTAAAGCCCTAAACCCTAAACCCTAAAAAGTAACCCAAGTCCTAACACACAGCATCTCGAGCCACCCCGGAGAAAGCCGAGGCTGTGGCGCAGCAGTCCAAGGCACCTCCAAAGGCCATGCTCCGAGCTCCCCAGGGAAGGGTCCCAGCTTCGGGCTTAGGGTTTAGG